CAATCGATGTATAAGGGAAAAAATAGGTCTCGGAAATAGAAAAAATCAATTATATTCAAACCCTTTTACATCGGTTCGTTTAACAACCGATGTAAAGTAAGACATTTAACATTGGTTGTTATAAAAACCGATGCAAAAAAGTTGTATATACATCGGTTATTGATAAAGCCGATGTAAATAAAGACATGTAACATCGGTTATCAAAATAATCGATGTCATATTACTCGGATTCACATCGGTTTTCAAAATAATCGATGTGAATAATGCTTACAATGACATCAGTTATTATGAAAATCGACGTGAAACCTTTTGTCGAAATAGTCTGCTTACATCGGCTTTATAAAAATCGATGTCACATGTTTAGATTATTACATCAGTTTTTTATATCAGCTTTTAAAAACTGATGTAAAATCAAGCATTTTACAACGATTTTATTTATATATACATTTTTTACCTATAAATCTAAAAATGTTTTTTACAAGTGCAGACAAATGTGTCCCTCATCCAACGGATGAGGATGCCACCCATACAGATGCCATCTAATGAACCTGTTTGAGCTATACTGCGTGCCAAGGCGCTACCCCCAACACTTGTTTTCCATCTTTGAACGTTATAAACTCAATTTTTGTTTTTTATATTTTAATTTATTTTTAATTTAGTATTAATTTCACATTCTAACTTAATTTTTTTTATTTTTTTTTCTAAAATTTTCACTTCATAAAAACGGAATGTCAATTGTTCTAGAATCAAATTTACTTACATCAGTAATTTTGTATCAATGGTGTTACGAGGGGAGCTTTCATATAATGCGAAACAATTGAACGAGGAAGTGAAAATATTCAAACTAAATGCCACCAACACTAAGCATATAATTAAAGTAGCTAGATGCAAATTAATAATAAAATAATAAAAAAAAATCAAATTGAAGGGGTTAATTAACTTACTAAACCAAAATTATAACAAAAGAAGGTCATCAATAATTTAGGCCCTTCCAATTAAAGTGTCCACTCATTTTCCACACAAAGAGAAACGACACCGCTTACCATGACATCAATGAATCATGTTATTTTATTTAATAACAAAATCATTTCTGGTCCTAATTATTTTCTCTTTGAATATTCTTGTTGCTTGAGCAATTTGGTTTTGGATTTTTAGGTGACGATAAGGAATCTAAAAAGTGAATAATTCAAAAGTTAATATTGCCACCATGCAATAGATATGTTACATTCAAAATAATGTGGGTTTTGTTTCTTCACACTTGTGCTTGCCTTTTTTGTGTGTATAAAAAGCCCCACAACAAAGCTATTTTTGTACACCACAAGCACTCAATTTTATTTTGCTCTCACACAAAAACATTTTATTGGAGAGACATATCAAGAAGATAGAAGAAGAAAATATAAAAGATATGGGTGAACAAAACTTGTGGGGAGCCATGAGTGTAACTCTAAACAAGATAAAACCCTTTTTAGCCATGATATCACTTCAATTTGGGTATGCAGGAATGTACATTATTACCCTTGTGTCGTTCAAGCGCGGTTTTAGCCATTGGATTTTTGTTGTGTACCGCCATGCAGTCGCTACACTGGTGTTTGCTCCTTTCGCGTATTTTCTCGAGAAGTAAGATTATTATTATTATTATTATTATTACTATTATTATTTGTATGTGTATGTGTGATTTAATTTATTTATTTATTTGAAACGATCGTCTTTCTGCACTATTTTTATCGTGTCATATTATTTGCTTCTTTGTTTTCCAGGAAAATAAGGCCTAAGATGACAAAATCAATATTCTTCAAGATTTTGGTGCTTGCTTTCTTGGAGTATGTCCTTAAAAACCTTAATTATATATGTCCTAGAAGAAGTTTATTTTATAATTTTACACAATTATATAATATCTATAGTACTAAAATACCACGTAAAAAATAGATTATGAAATGTGTATAATAATTGATTTATCACATGCGTGCGTGCATGTGTAAAGTTTGCTATACTAAACACTCTACTTATGATCTCCTAAAGTAACTTCAAAAAGACCCCAGAAATTCATAAGAAAATTGTTGGCAATACTAATTTTACCTACTAAACCTAAACCATAAGAAATTGTAAAGTTATGCTTAGGTAATTTGATAAAAGAGTCGAGCTAGAACAGCTCAGGAAATAGAATTTTTAGTCTTTTACATAGTTTTATGATCTATTATCCTAGCTCGATTCATTATAGAATCTTGAACTCAGTTCTGCTCAATTTCAATTCTACATGTGATCGTGTAAAAAGTACATAAATAAATCCAACATATATCTATTCAATTTTCACTATTTAACGTAATTCATTAAATATTATTGCTTTGCTTTTTCAACTATATATTAATGTTTTTATGTATTTTCCTCCAAAAAAAATGAACTGAATAATCAGGCCAGTGTTGGACCAGAATTTGTACGGTGTGTCTATACAGTATACGTCAGCTACATTTGCAGCCGCGTCCGTTAACGTTCTCCCTGCCATCACCTTCGTATTGGCGGTAATTTTCAGGTACGATAAAATTGATATAAATAAATTATCAATAAAAAAAAAAAACAATTAAGGAAAAGAGAAGTACAGTTTCCAATTTTTTTTTTCTTTCGTTTTTACAAGTTAAGGAGAATTTTGTTATGATGTACGAGTGTTGATTGAAAAATATATATATTTACATTTAAAAAAATAATAGAAACTTTTGTTTTACAATTTATAATGCTTTCTTAAAAAATGGCATCAGTATTTTATTGTTTAGAATTACTACCCTCACTCATAATACTTGCTTGCTCCCTTTGCATTATAATAATCTTTATAACTCCTTATATTTGACAGATAATTTTGTTGACTAATATATCTAATTTTTATTAATAAGATATGGTTATATTTTTATTCTATATACACAATATGAACATCAAAACATAGATTATTAAACATGGTTAATTTCATATATTTAATATAAAAGACTACTTATATAGTTTTTAAATACATTTGTAATCATGTAATTACAATTATCAAATTGTAGTTACACACTTATCAAATTCCAAAATTTTTTGCTTTGTTTATAGATATACTTAAATTAATTGCTTCAAATTTAATTATATAATTAGTAACTAAAATTATATATCACTGATTAAAAATTAGGATGGAGAAAGTGAATCTGAAAAAGACTCCAAGCTTAGCTAAGGTCGTCGGAACACTAATAACCGTCACCGGAGCCATGGTGATGACGCTGTACAAGGGCCCACCGCTTGGCCTCTTCCACGGCGGCGGCGTCCACAAGGCCGCCGGCACCTCCGCCGATCAGCACTGGGTCTCCGGCACCATTATGATGCTCGCTTGTATCGTGGGCTGGGCCGCCTTCTTTATCTTGCAAGTAAGCCCGTTCTTTTTGGCCCAATAGGCTTAGTATAAATTATTATTTCCTTTCATTATCGGCCCAGAGGATCCAAATTCTTTTAAGAATAAAAAGTAATTTTCCGTTGACCCGACCTACCGATTCTGGGTATTTAAAAAAATATATTTTAGAACCGACCCGTTTAATATATGGGTCGACCCGACCCGGTGACACTCTCTAACTAACTACAAGACACTTTTATGTTTGATTTTGTACCTAACTTGTAACCAAATGAGATAATTTTTTTTTTTTTTTTGGGGTTACAATATTTGAACATATAAATGAAATTGTGTTATTTGGCATGATTTTGAAAACAGAACAAGACACTAAAAGAGTACCCGGCTGCCCTGTCGCTGACGTCATTGGTATGCGTGTTCGGGACTTTGGAAGGCGGAGTCGTGGCCGCGATTATGGAGCGACGAAAGAGTGCTTGGGCCATCGGGTTCGACTCTAGGCTTCTTGCCGCTGTATACTCGGTGAGTTACTTACGCTTTCTAAATATATTAAAACACGAATAAAGATACAAGTTATTTTCACTTTTGACTCGCTCAACAAAAAATAAATAAATAAATAAAAAATCACTATTCATCAGCTCACTCACAAAGAGTGTTGATAAATGATAACTAACAGGGAATTATTTGTTCGGGATTAGCGTACTACCTGCAAAGCGTAGTGAACAAGACGAGAGGCCCGGTTTTCGTGACCGCGTTTAGTCCTCTCAGCATGATCATCACGGCCATCTTGAGCGCCATATTCTTGGCCGAGCAAGTTCATCTCGGCAGGTAACAATTTCTCAACCTCCACATTTTATTATTCTAATCCTTTTTTTGTTCAGTAAGGTTGTCGTTAGGCAAGTCCAACCATTAGTCGGTTATACTTTTGCACAAATATGCGCAATTTCATACACAATTCAGATACTTCAAAAAACAGTATAAACAAAAGTATGACACGCATATGACGGATCGACTCGTCTAACCAATAGACTGACTTACACAAGAATTTGTGTACTTTGTCATTAACGGTTGAAAATTCACAGCTTGATAGGGGCAGTGATCATAGTTTCTGGGCTTTACTCTGTTGTTTGGGGCAAAAGCAGAGAGAACTCAGACAAGGCTTCACCGGTGTACGATGAAGGCAAAGCCCAAGAACTACCGGTCATCAGTGCTGATGTCATCCAAGCGAACAGGAAAAACGACAAGACTTTCTTACAGCAAGAGCCTTGAAACGAGCGTTGATTGGCCCAAGCCCATAACACCCGATTGTCGTGGTTTTGTATTTTTCTTTTTTTTTTTTTTTTTTTGTTTTTTTTCTTTTTTGGTCATTTTTATTTGTTTTTCCTTTTCGGTTTTGGCTCTTCTGTAAACTGTGGCGCGTGTTGCAGATAACATATATAACTTTCTGGTGATGTATAATTGACTACACCTCTGTTAATTTCATACCTCGTTCGAATGTGAAATTACTTACCGATCGATAAATATTCTATTGTGTTAGATAAATGAGATGCCATTCGTATGTACAATTCATTAATCGTATTACATGGAATGACATGTATATACTTGTGAAATGACCAATGGAATTAACATGAAATGGAACATGATTCATATTATGTGGTTCAAAATTTATAATATTCCCAAACCAAATCAATTTTAATGACCAATCACCACCAATGTGTGTCTTATATTTACAGTTTACAGAATCGCGTTCAATGGCATCCACACTTATGTACATTTGACAATAAACAGAGCCTAACAATAAACAGCAAACGAGAGTTTGAACAATCAAACGTTTACTCATACATAAGAACAGGCCTCATTGTTTTTATAACACCTTCAGAGCCATCTTGCTGGAGTGATGGACCCCAAGTGTAGCAAGTTTCAGCATAGCTCGACCTTGGTACAAACTGCAAAACAGAAGGTACGTTAAGTAAACAGTGTTCAATTTTTTTCTACAGCTTCAGGGAGCAGATATTGTTCTAGCTAATGGAGAAAATATACAGTGGCAGCTAACCAGAAAATTAAAATTGATAAATCCTTAAAAAATCAACTGCAACCTAAAACAGGACAAGGAATCAACAATCCTGACCTATTGGCAAACACACAACATCAAAGCATACTGTGCATATAAAATTTACTATTTGTTCGAGTATTAAGTAATTATAGTAACAGCTCATAAGTTACCTTGCTAGAGCAAGACCCCATGTAGCTAGCAGGTAAAACACCTTCCCAGCATGCCAAATATTCAGCATTTTCTCGACTTTATTCATGCCTCCCAAAGTTTTTGTCACAGCTGCAAATGATTAAAAGTATTCAATATTCATAAGACTTCCGCCATGTATGAAAAAAGGGAAAAAAATCCGAATATACACGTCTCTGTTTGCGTGTGTGTGTGTGTTTCCAACACCGAGGCCAAAATGAGTCAATCACTAACAACAAATTGCTAAATGGCACTTTTTTTCCATATAGTTTCACTCTTGCTGATACCTAAAGAAAAAGGGGGAAAATAAAAGAAAAAAAAAGAACCCAAACACACACACACACTCAAAAACCTGCCTTTCTGTAGCTCGATAGGGTTCAAACTCTGCATTTCCAAAAAATAATAAAAATTATGAGGGCTGATGCATTGATAACCTAAACGAATTACAAGAAGCGAAAAAGGGGATCACTATCATGTTAAATTACCACTTACCAGAGATTTTGGGTTCGCCAAAATGCACCGAGCCATAAAGGTAGCCACTCCATCCACCACATGCTCTTCACTCACAACTACATAATTTTCATTGTCAATGCCACTCTTTTCTTCAGTTTTATTAGGAATCATATCTTCAGATACCAAAACCCACAAACTCGGCTCCTCATTATCATCATTAATCAAAACTTCAGCTTTCTCAGGATCTGCACTTGGATCATTTGCAACAAGAAATAGAGCAAGGGGCCAATATCATCACATGGCAATATAAACTAATCCCAACCAGCACAATCAATAAAATTGGCAAAAAACAAGAAACTCAAATGATAAATATTCACATGGAAAGGGATTGAATGGGTGTAAAAGCTAAATGAATCAATTACACTGCCAAGATTATAACTTGTTCCATCACTTGTATACATTTACAGATAGATAGAGATATAACAAACCTGATGGCTCGTCAAAAGGGGACGAGCAAGCAGATTTTTTTCGGTGACACTCAAGCTCATCCAGGAATTTTTCAGAACTAACAGCAGACATAATACGATCATGAAGCTGCAGGCATCGAAAGAAAAAAGGCAGTCGAGATCTATAATTCAAGCCTAAAATCAAACTTGGGGGCAAAAAAAGGAAAAAAATTGCATACATCAGATGGGCAATTATGCAACAAAGCCGGTGAACAAGAAATCTGGTGGAGGAGATTGAGGTTTTTCTCGAGCAATTGACGGAGCCGTTCGTTGTCGGATCGCAGTGTTTCAGTATCAAAATCCCGTCTTTCTTCGGTTGCAGGCGGCGACGGCGTAGAATCGTGGTCGCGGTGGTGATGGCAGCACTCGACGGCGGCCCACGCCACGTCAGCCACCTCCATCACCGTCTTCGCCACCTCGAGCGATAAATGACCCGCCATTTTCCTTCGATTTCTGGTTTCCTCCGCCGATTAGGGCTTTGTACGATACATTCTTGTGGGTGTACAGATTTCTTTGTTGTATTTTATTGTTTGTGGGTGCTAACACGAATATTTTGAAACTAAAATGTCATACATTAAAAAAAACAATATAAATAAAATCAAGATAATTCATAGAGTAAGTATGCATTTTGTTAAATGATTTCTTTACTTAAACGAGACATGTTCGAACAGTTAAGTGTTTTGTTTATTAAACGAGTCAAGTTGAGCTCGTCCACAAATAACTCGTTTATTTTCTTATATATATCGGATTTTAAGAAACAATAAGGTTAATGATAGACCTAATGGTTAGACAAATATATATTTTGAAATAGTATTTTAAATACCGTATCGGTAAAAATACCGGACGAGCTAATGATACGCGATTCAACCGGTATTACCGTTTATTTTACCGGTTTCAATAAATATTAAATTAATTTATTATTATAATATAAATGATGTACAAAATTAACTTTAACTAATACTAAAATTAACTAACATTAAATAACAATGTAACATATTAAAAATTATGTGTAGAACTTTCAATTTATATAAATAAATTAATAAAAATATATAAAAAAATATTTTTTTAAAAAAATTGGCATAAACCTGTATTTTGACCGGTATTTTCCGGTATAAAACCGGTATAAACCGGTATTTTGGCCAAAACGGTATTTAGAATGTAACCGTACCGGTCGGACCACCAGTATTCGGTATTACCGGTAATACCGGCCAGTACGTTACGGTATTTAAAACATTGTTTTTAAGTTTGAACATACATAAATAGATTAAAACAAAATGTCATCATGATATTTTATAGAATAAGTATGCATTTAAATAAAAATATATATATGATGGGTCGACTCTTCAAGCGGCTAGTCTGTCTCTAGTGCTATTAACTTAACGAGACTGACTTGGCTCTGTTCGATAAGTCTCGAGTTCAGCTCGGATTTGGCTCGAGCTCGAGGCCTAACGAACTCGAGCTCATTTAAAGCTCGAATGATTAACGAGTCGAACTCGAGCTCCATTTCTAACTCGTTTATTTAACAAGCTGAGTTCAACTTGGCTCATTAAAAACCAGAGCTCGAGCTTGAACACCCTAAACTCGGCTTGTTTACATGCCTAATGCCTCATATAAGAATTTGTGTTTAAGGAACATTTCAAACAAGAATGTTCGATAACACACAAATGTAAACCACTCAATTATATATTTGTTAAATTAGTCGAGCAAAATTGAGCTCAAGTCGAGCATTTTCCCACATAAAGGACGATTTTACAAAATCCACCTCGCCTGTATATAGTATTTCAGCCTCACACCTCAAAATCAACACTAGATGACTAGAAGCAAAAGTAATTGGGTTTTTTCATAAATACTCCAAACCTCAGGGGTTGGTTTATCATTCATTCCGTTCTAACAGTAAATAGGTTAGACCTTAGTACTAAAGGAAACTACACAGTAAAATGTTTGAACACTACCATATAAGCTCAAAAAATTGCCAGAAAATTTTTAGCAACACATGAAAACAAAAAAAAAAAAAAATCCCAAGTTTTTCAAGCAATCCTAACAAACTGACCAAATACAAATTACACTCAGGGGACCATTTCATAACCAATCAAGAAAAAGTACACAAAATCAAGGTCCCAAAGCTCCACAATTCCACTACTCAGAACCACGAAACTACAGCAGCTCTACGGACGATAAAACAAACACTCGACAACTAAACCTAAGACTAACAACAGCATTACAATAAATCCGGTAGAGTGGCCCATTAAGGAGCAAGCGCCAGACGAACCGGACATGAGCCCAGTGGGCCCACCAGTCGGTGGAAGCCCAATAGACGAGGGCACTGTGTTGGTTGATGGAATAATGCCTCCAGGTTCTGATGGGGATGGAGCCGGAGAATATAATCCCGGGACAGTTGTCGGTGGAGCAATAAGCGTTGGAAACTGCTGAGGTCCTGCTTAAAACCACACAAGAAAACACACACACACAAAAAAGGTAAAAACAAACAAAAATGTGCAATATTGATAGGTCTAAAAAATGAATGGTCTTAGGTTTGTTGTAATAACTAATAAGTATATGATTATTGTATCGAGTTTACCTGGGCATCTAGGTTGTAGGTATGTGGACAACCTGCGCACACACACGCAAGGACTCGAATTAAGTTCCATTTTGATATAATCGAAGACAAATGTTATGTTTGGTAACTAAATAAGCTAGCTTACAGTTTATTTGATTAGTTTATAAGCTCCCTATATTCAAATAAGCTTCGTTTGGTAGGACGAATTTATCTGATATGATAAGCTTCTTTGGATAACTTTTCAAATAATTAAGCTCGTTAAAATTTTTATTCCAGCAAGCTTATCAGCTAATTTTACCAAACACACTTTTATCATATAAGCTAGTTTTTCAGCTATAAGTCTTATGTTATAAGCTCGAAAATCACTTATAAGCAGTTATTATCAGCTAATTTTACCAAACATAGCCAAAGTCAAGAAAGTCAATAAAGATCGGTTTTTTCAGCTTACGTTGTGGAAATGCTCCCGTTCACAAATCCACTGTAACCGCAAGAAGTCACGTTGCAACCGGCCGAGGATTGTTGGGCGGTAATATTACCGATCATGAGATTGCTATTTCTGCATTGCATGCTCGAGCAAAAAACTTCCAATGGGGCTGGCTCACAGTACAAACTACAAGAAAAATAAAATGAGAAAAAAAAAATAAATAAATAAAATCAGAATGAGGCGTTTACAAAAATTTTCTCTTGCGGGCAGAAATGAATACACGTAATTGTAAAACATTTTGTGCTTACTTGCGGTTTCCGGGCCCACAACTGCAGAGAACACAGTGACTTGCGGTGATAGCGTAACTACCGTTGGGAACAACCAAGCCGTAGTCCTCACTATAGGTCGGGAAATTCGATGCACAAGCTGAAAATTGTAATAATGTGGAAATTTATTGAGTTTTTTTCCGAATAAGGAAAACCAAAATGTGTTGTACACAAGAAACCAACTACATTTAAGGCGCATACGAATCATGTTTTTTCCTTTTATGAAAATTCTCACTGAAGTTCGACAAATTGCAACTTTGCAAGTCTTTCATCATGAAGAAACAGTTACTATGAAAGCAGCAACAATACGCATTCTCTTTAAAAGTTCAATCCCAACCAGACAATTGTGAGAAATTTTACAAATTGAAACCACGAGTCGTGAAAAAGTGCGACACTTAATAACCGAAACAAATGTAGGACAATGGAAAGGAGAGATTGGGTATTCTGCAACATGACATGGTAATCCAAATTACCCACATAATACAAAAGTCCACAAAATGTCCAAAGAGTAGACAGAACTAATTAATCTAATCTGAAGAAAACAGAATGTCCAACCAAGAAAATACCAAGAAGGAAAAACCACCTAACCAAAGTGTAAACAACAATCAAACAAAGTTAGTTTCTTTCTCAACAAAAACTATCTAATTATAGCCTATTCCCCTGCACATAACATAGAAAGCACTACAAATCATTACCAGATTACCAGAACAGCTTAATTCCCTAACTATCTCTTCAAACATAATTAATACCACAACAAAATCAGTTCATAATCATCTATGGTACCAAACAAATCAGACACCATATAAAACACCAAGTGCAATACCAACTAAACCACCCATGAAACAAAGAGAAATGGTAAAAAGATCAAATTTTTACATAGAAAGTAAGAGAGAAAAAATGACTAACCAGACAAAGGGATTGCAAGAATATCACCATCCTTAATATCCTGGCTGGCCATGCTATTGACATTCATCAAATCTGTGACGGTGGTCAGATACCTGGCAGCAATCCCTGACAAGGTGTCCACGGCCGTTCGCACAACATAGGACATGTAAACTGCCGGGAGATTGTTGTCGGTGTTGTTGAAGCAGGTGCAGGGGAGTGGGATGCTGAGCCGGGCTCCGCCGGGGAGGATGCCATCGGGGTCGGTGATCCCGGCGTGAGGGTTTGCCGCCAGGATCTGCTCCGGCGAGACGAGGCCGCCGTAGACGGCGGCGGATATGGAGGCGAGGGAGTCGGAGGGGAGGGTCCGGTAGGCGACGGCGGCGGCCTGGCGGATCCCGTTGACGCAGGCGCAGCGGACGGGGACCCTGAGGAAGAGCTGGGAGGGGAGGATGCGGTTCTCGACGTCGGGGAGGGAAGCGTCGACGGCGTTGGCGAGGAGGAGGGCGACGGGATCGACGGCGAAGAGGGAGGCCACCTCCGAGACCTTCAGGTCGGTGTAGAGGGTGTAGCCGACGAGGGCGGAGCAGGCGCCGGAGTCGGAGCAGGGCTCGATTGTCGACTTGGGAGCGGCGCGTGGGAGGCACGCAGCGAGGGCGAGGAGGAGGAGGAGGAAGGCGCGCCGGCGCATCTTTCGCGCGTGGTGTGCGTGTGGTTGCGTAAGCGAGAATGTTTGTTGCGCAGAGTAGGAAACTGAGGTAGGGGGGTGACGACCGGCGGCGCGTGTGGGAAGGGCTGTGGGCACAAGTTTGTGTTTTGAGTGGGAAAATAGAAAGGGAAAAGAAAGAGCAAGGTTGCAAGAAAAGACTGTTGAGGGTTTCTTTGGGCGGTTTCCGGTGGTGGTACGGCGGCGCCCTCACACTGTTGTGTGTGTGTGTGTGTGATAGAGAGCTAGAGAGAAATTTGAAATTGGAGTGAGATGGAAAGAATTATATTTTGAAAAGGAGTGTCTGTGTGTGTGTTTCAGGCACTTTGTTCAAACACCAGTCAGCTTTGGTATTCGGGTCGACAGATAGATCCCACACAGGCAAGTTGTTGGTTTACCACTTTGCCCTTTCACCATTTGTGATTCAAAATTGTCATTTGTAAATTATCGTCACGAATTCAAATTGAATGATTTTTTTCAGGTATATGGCGCCTAAAATAGGTGGTGTAAATCACTTGTAAAATTTCAATGTTATAGTTAAAATGCCATTGTTGACGAAATTTTAATAAAAAATAAATTAATAATCTATTCATAAGTTACCATATTGTCCAAGTTAGAATTGATGCCCACCACATTAAAAAGCTTATAGTATATAATTTTTTTGCAGATTTGAGAATTTTTCTTTGTGTATGGTGTTTGTGGATCCCATTTCTTTTGTTGACAAGAAAATAAATTTGTATCCATTTTTTTTCTTTCTTATCTGTTGTGTGGTGATCGAGGTTCTTTTACTAATTTTTAGTTTTCTCTTATTTTGTCCTCTTCATTATTCTTTTTTTTTCCCAAAACGATAGATAGTATTATAAATCAAAATGCACAAATGTGCGAATACACAGCAGCCAACAGCTGAAAAAAGTAGGAGGACAGGTCAGAAGACCGCCTAGAATCCCGGCTAGCAACGCTAGAATAAAAAAACACTCAAAACTAAACTAATAACAACACAAACAACTAAAACAAATTACAAGGACCCCAACAGGGTAATACCCGAGTGTCGGATCCCATCAGGATAATAAATTTGACACTCGGGCTCACAGGGGCCAACGACCCAAACCAAAAAACACCAATCCTAGACAACAACAGATAAGACACACAAAGAAACGAACAAAACAACACACTAACTAACAAACAAAACACACAGCCCTCCTTCAGCAGATACGTCCGAGATTGAACCACAGACAAGGCCGATTTCATGAAAAGATCCGCAGCACAGGCACTCCGCCCGCCACTGCCTAAAGCCTAGCAAGACGAATACCCAAACCGCAAAACAAGCCAAGAAAAACCGACCCGCTCTCCTACCGCAAGAAACCATAATCGACCCCCATCGGCTAACACCACTAGCCAAATCCGATACCATCTCGAAATTGCCTATCACCACTAGCCAATATACGAAACGGTCGGCCTCCCTCTTGATCAGAAAGAGAAAAAAGGAGGAAGGGCTCGAATGGCATCCCGACCCAGTCACAACAACACAACCCAACAATCGATAATCTCCCAATCTAGCGCACAAAATCGAACCCCGCCACAACCACCCCACAGTACCGAAACGAGAGCTCCAACGAAACAGGAAAATCGAAACGAGGCAGACTTCAAGGCCGTGATAGAAGAAATTGACCATACCTGAGTTGGAAAGAGCAACCAAGCCGCATCCAAAGGTTGACAAAGCACCCCCCGAACCCCGAACCGCAGGACACCAGCGGCCTCGCACAGAAAAGTAGATCTGCCGAAACCCTAGCCCACCCCTTTGGCTGGAATCGCAGAACAGGAGCGCCGCTGACCTAATTAAGGATGCTCCGCAGGAGAGCCATCCTCCGGCTATCCCGAACGACCTCTGAAAGAGGCACAAACCAGCGATTTGCAGATGGCGAGCAAGAGAGAAAAGGGGCGAGCAAGAGAGAAAAGAAAATTACAATATGGTAATTGCTTTGTCTGAAGCTCATGCATGAATGCATGTGCCATTCTCTAAAAAAAAATGGTTGTGCTGCATACATCAACTCAATTGTAGGACAGTGGACTTTTTAGGGGCTAAATAATTGCTTCAGACAAGAAGTTTGGTCTTAGGAAAGACTTCAAATGATAGGACATCATAACACAACTCTGAAAATCACCAGAATGAACTCACAAATAGCCCAAACTAAGTGGTGAAACAATTTAACTTACTTTATATTCAACTTAAATGCCAGAAACTGGTAAGTTGTAGCTACAAACAAAAAGAAATGTTTGCAGACTGTTGAAACTCAAAAACACACATTTGTGCACAAGATTAGAGATCAAAACAAACACCAACCTTTAGCAATGCCATGGATGATAGAAACCCTAGTCTTCCAATCAAGCACAACAACCTCATCCCGGTCGAGATAGCTCGACAAATTACCTCCAGGGGCAAAATTGTAAATCAAGAAGCACTCCCCTCGAGCCTTGGACCGACAGAACCCTTTGAGCTCCACCAGATTCTCGTGCTCGAGCGAATTCAGCAAGCTGAGCCCTCTCAAGAACTCTTCCTCCTCCGACTTGCAACTCGTCTTCCCAATACACTTAATAGCCATAATCAACCCATCCTTCAGAACCCCCTTATAGACTCGACAGAATTTACTCTTCCCTAAAAGGTTCGCCTCCGAGAAGTGCTGCGTGGCCGACTCGACCTCCTCGAGGTTGAACGAGTCTCTTCTGTGTGGGCCCCACACGCTCCGGCAGCGATCGAGTGAAGTTGGGCCCACGCTACTGAGCTGGTTCCCATTGGACGTGTCGGATTTGTCCCCGACCTTCTGTTTCTGGTGGCGGTGCCGGAAAAAAGCGACGGCAGCGGCCACCGCCAGCCTGAACGAGGTGGCGATTAGGCCCGAGACGAGCCCGATCTTGGGAAGCTTTGATGGGGTCTCCGAACAGATGGTCTCGTTGCAGACTATGGCGAAGGCAGCCGATTGAGGATTGGGATTGCCCGTGTGGCCAGATGGGAAGGAGTTCAGGTTGAGGTCGAGGTTGCTGTCGAGCGAGTTGTAGGCTCTGAGCACGGGGAAGCCGGGCCCACATAAGCCCGAGTTGTTTCGAACTGAAAATCGATATTTCTTCTCTTCAGGCCTTCAGAATTGAGCAAAAGTCGATAACTTTAACGACGATAACCTTACTACTTTTTTTTGGGGGGGGAGGGGGGGGGAAGATTGTAAAAGAAGATGGGTGGCTAACCAGGAGGGATGAGTCCAGAAAGTTTTTTGTTTTTGACATCAAGGAGTTCAAGTGAGGTGTTATTGGCCAGTGTGTAAGGAATTTGGCCTGAGAGTTGATTGGAGCCCAAGTGCAAGCTTTTCAAGGACCTCAAATTTCCTAAGCCTGAAGGGATTTGCCCTGTTAGCCTATTGCTTTCCAATGCAAGAAAGTTCAGGTTTTTTAAGGATCCCATTTGTGTAGGCATGTTCCCTGTTAATTGGTTGTAACTCAGCTGCAGCACTGCAAAAAGTTCAAGAAATGAAATGAAAATTAGAAACTGGCTACAGATTGTGATAGTTTCAATTTCTAAACTAGTGAAAACTGAATTTCTGTAGCTCACGAAAAATATACTATAAAGAGAGACCTTGAAGACTAGCCATTTTTCCAATCTCAGGTGGTATAGCCCCAGTCAAGTTATTGAAATTGAGATAAAGATCGGTTAACTCTGTCAGATTCGAAATCTCCACCGGAATCTCTCCCTGAAGAGAATTGTAATGCAAGTAAAGGCCCGACAGGCACTTGAGCTCAGCCACTGCCGGAGTCAACTTTCCGGCAAGCCCCTTCCCCTGCAGAGAGATGTTGGCCACTTTTCGGTGCTCGTTGCAAGCAACCCCAACAAACGAGTCGCTGCACGGCTCGCCGGAAGCGGCCCACGAGGACAGGCACTTGTTCGCCGTATCCAAAGATGACTTGATCTCCATTAATGCCCTCAGCTTTTTATTTCCGGCCGCCGGAGTTGTTAAATAGTTGCTGCAGCATGTTAGGCCGGCAAGAATTAGGAAGTAAACAGGGGATTTGAGCCATCTGGTGACCCCTGCATTTTCTTTTTTCTTTTTTTTTTTCTTAGGATTTTTATGTTTTTGTTGAGGAAGTAATTTCAAGAATCAAAAGACATGATTTTTAACGTAAAGGCAGAGCCTTTTTTCTAGTGGGAGCTTTTTAGATATGGAGTTTGTTTGAGCTGTAATGCTTGGATGGTGTTTTCTTTGGAGGACGAGTAAAAGAGATTAGCTAGTGTGTGTGTTCACTGTTTAGTGTGAAAAGGTTGTCAGCTGTATTGGACTTTGGAGGGTATAAAAACATGCATGCACATATTTCTATGGGATTTTTTTTTTTTTCCTTTTGTTTTTAAATAATTTGGTGTAATTTGCACCATAATAATTGATATTTGGGGATGTAAAGTATGGGTGATAATGATTGGTACTATATTATACGACCACTGAAAAAGAACTTAATGGTGCCCAACTAAATTATACGACCACCGAAAAAGAACTTCTAGCTGTGGTTTTCTCTCTTGAAAAATTCAGATCCTATATTTTAGGGTCTAAAGTGATAATACATTCAGACCATGCAGCCTTAAAGTATCTTTTGAATAAAACTCAATCAAAGCCGAGGCTTATTCGGTGGATTTTATTGTTGCAAGAGTTTTATGTTGATATTCAGGATAGAAAAGGGTCCGAAAATGTTGTAGTTGATCACTTGTCCCGCATTATACCGGCTGATCATTCTCATTCCTTGCTTGAGCATCATGTTATTAATGATAATTTTCCATGCGAGCATGCGAATGAAGTGACTTCTAACCTTTGGTGTGCGGATATTGTGAATTATTTGTCTTGTGGTATTGTGAATTATTTGTCTTGTGGCATTGATTTTATGGGACCATTTCCCAAATCTTGTGGTTTTGAATATATATTACTTGCTGTAGATTACGTGTCCAAATGGGTTGAGGCGATCCCCACAAGAACATGTGATGCTAATGTGGTCATCAAGTTTTTGCGAGGACATTTTCTAAGCAGGTTCGGATTTCCTCGGGCTATTGTGAGTGATGGTGGGAAGCATTTTTGCAACCGTATTTTCGAGAAGTTGATGAAGCAGTATGGCATTTCACACAAGGTGGCTACCCCATACCATCCACAGACGTTGGGCCAGGCCGAGACGAGCAACCGGCAAATCAAGACTATTTTGGAGAAATAGTTAACTCGTCCCGGAAGGATTGGTCGAGTCGACTTGACGATGCGTTATGGGCCCAACGGACAGCGTACAAAGGAGTTTTGGGGATGAGCCCGTTCCGGCTCGTCTACGGAAAAGCGTGCCACCTCCCGGTTGAGATCGAGCACAAGGCGTTTTGGGCAATAAAGAAAATGAACTTTGATCTTGATACCGCCGGAAGAGAGCAAATTTTGCAACTCTCGGAACTCGAAGAATTGAGAAACGAGGCGTATGAAAATTCAAAAATTTACAAGGATAAGATCAAACGACTCCACGACGCTCGGATTATCCGGAAGGAGTTGGTACCGGGCATGCAAGTGCTCCTATTTAATTCCCGACTTCGTCTATTTCCGGGAAAACTTAAGTCCCGGTGGAGTGGCCCGTTTCTTGTTGATGAAGTATTGTCTTTCGGGGCCGTCCGACTTCGGAACCCATCTACCAGTGAATTATTTGTCGTAAACGGACAAAGGATCAAGCCTTATTTTTGAGGGGAAATCGAGAAGAAGCACGTCGAGACCGTGGATCTCGACGAGCCACAATATACATGATCGCGAGTGTGCCAAGCTCCCGGCAATAAATCGAGCAATTGTACAGCTGTATTTGTTTATTAATCATTAAAAAAAATGGAAGCAGGTATTAACGCCGATAGTGTCGAATTTCGCAGCGCCGTTAGACCGGCTAGCGGGCTTCAGAGGCTCGGGGTTTATTGACCATAGCGCCGCTAGCCCGCCCTAGCGCCCGCTAGAGTCTGGAACTTCATATAAAAAAAAAAAAACCGACCTTTTCTTCTCATTTCACTCATCCCTCATCTTTCTCCTCTCTCAGGCGACAACCGAACAACCACCAACTCCCGACCACCGTCTCCGGTAGCAGAACTTCGGCGATTCACCGCGACGACGATCCCCGACCAATAACCCCCACTCATCATCTCCTCGCACCATCGAGTCCAACTAACCGCACAACCCCCACAACCACAACCTCCACAACATCTCACCTCACTATCCAAAGACTCCACACCGGCGACCAGTCTCCAGTCAACGAGCTCCGACAACAACACTCTGGTCATCTCTCATCTGCGTTGGACATCCCCATTGCTTACCTCACCGTGCCTTCCCAACCCTAGCTCGACGAGACCCACTCCAATCCGACTCGAATTCACTTTCAAAGGTACGATTGGCTTACCCTCTCTGCGAATTGTTGACGTGTGTGGCGAGAGGAGGCCTACTCCAGGACCAACCAATTACAAATCGTTCACAAGCCCTCACCTCTAATCCCCGCATAACAAGTGTTCGACGAATTGCTCCCACGAAACAACATGCCAAGAGCTACAGCTAATTCGAAGAAAACGGCACCATCCAAAGCCGGGGCTTCTACGAGCTCTAACACTACCCCGACATCCGCAAAACCGAACCTTGCTCAACAACATAACGTCCCATTTCCGGTGTTTAACATGGACGAGGTTACGACGTTCAACGCCTCAACTCGAAACCGATCTTTCGTCCTCGCGTACTCGATTGGGAACCTCTTGAGCGGGCCCGCATCAAAGAGGACGTTGAACGTTATTTGGCCCTGCTCGAAATATGTTGAATTCATACGGTTTAAATGTGTATTTAAAATAAGTTTTGTGTTATCTACTTATAACTTTTTATTATTCAATATAAAGTTCTTGAATAGATGATTTTCATATAATATTAATTCCAACAAAGTATGTACGTATAACGTAATCATGCCTTAAAAAATATGGTAACGCGAATGGATTAATGCAACAATTGGTATTTTTACCTATAGTATTAATAATTGATTGACTATAGGCATATATAGTGGTAATAAATTGAATGATGCAACATTGTTGAAATGGTCCAAATAATTAAATTAACGAAAATATTTAAAGCTGTCACACGTACTAATTAACTGTACGTATAAGAATTGTTTTGTCCTAGTCAGTTTACAACGAAGGCTATATCGTTATCTTGTATATGTATAATTGAGAGTTCTGTACTCTCTTTTTCTATATTTTCTATTGTTATATATCTTGATATTATAATTATCTGACAGAACTTATTAAAAAATTAAAGTAAATTATATAAAAATAATCTTATAAATAAACTATACTAGTAGAGTACTAATTAACACTTGTGTGGTACTAACACTCGCTTCTTGTGTGGTACTAACACTCGCTTGAGTATTACATGAGTGATAATAAAAAATATTTATCTCTAAATTTTAAAAATAAAAAACCTAAGTTTTTGAATAATATTTAAAAATACATTATATATATTTAAAATAATAATCGTTACTTGTACGACTTATCCCTTTTATATTGTAAATTATTTTACTATTTTTCAATTAATATCGATAGGTAATTTAATACTTATTATAATTGTAAATATATATTTATTTATAATATACACTACAACAAAAAAGAATTCTAGCAACATAATTATTGTGACGTTTTTAATAAATGTAGTTAGAATTGATGTATTTGCAACGTTTTTTAAAAAGCGTTACAAAGATAAAATTATAACAACGCTTTTTTAGAAATGTAATCAAATTATGTCACTTTTTAAAATATGTCACCATGTTAACTAATATTAAGACATTTATTTCAAAGTGTAATTAAATTACTACGTTTTATACAAAAGTGTCGTCATGTTTAGTTATATAGCGACACATTTTGAAAACTGTACTAAAATAGTAACACATATTTAGAGAATGTCACAAGTTTTACTAATATTGAAATATTTACATTAAAGTATAATTACTTTATGACACTTCAAAATACGATTTTTGTATAAACCCAATGTCAAAATGCATTTTCTCAAATCTTTCCAAAAGACCTAATCTGTCAACCCTAGCAGTGGTGGAGGTGGCAGGCGCTAGCACGGGGAGCGGCAGCGGCGGCGGTAGGCGTAGCACCTGAGACGACGACAGAAGGAGAGAGGACCAGGAGCTGCAAGGCAACGACACAGAGAAAGACTCGGCGAGCGACGAGGCGTCTTCATTCCAGCCAGAGCCGGCTTTAGCCCAGGGCAGGCAGGGCGACGGCCCAGGGCCCAAATGAAATGAGGGGCACCATGTGCCAGGCCCATTATACTTAATATATATAAAATATGTATGTATTGTATATATAGTTATTATATTATATACAGTGTTTTTAAAAGCGTAGTTTAGCGCGCTACGTCACGCGAAATAGCGCAAATCTCCTGAAAAACGCGTCATAGGGCCTGTCATTTAGTGCAGTTCCAACATAGCGTACGCTTTTGATGATGTGGCACGCTTTTTTCGGATAGCGTCCGCGATTTGTGCTATAGCTTAAATTCTGCACGCTATTTGGGACCCTAAAAAAATTGAAGGCAGAAAATTAAAAAAAAAAAAAGAAAGAAAAACAAAATTGAAGGCGACGAAATCACAATCAGAAACTCAGAAATCAGAATTCACGAAACCCTCATTTCACTTGTCTTCGTCATCTCCCTCTCGGCCTCTCCACCGCAGCCTCCAAGGATCCACCACATCCCAGCTCTCTTCATCATTTCACTTCTCACATCCTCTGTTTCCTCGACTCTCGTCTCTCGCTCTCGCCTTTCGCCCAGCTCTCGGCACCCCCAAAGTCCCTTCTCCTCGGCTCTTTGTACCCTACATCCCTTGCACGGTTGCACCTCGACTTTCAACTCCAAAGGTATCATTTTGTTTTTCATTTGAGATTATTAATAGCTTCAGTGAATGATTTCGTTTTCTCGCTCTCGCCTTTCATTTTGTTTTTTTCTTTTTTTGAAGCTGCTTCACAGAACATGAATTGAAATTGGCCCTCTTCTAGTGAATTATTTCGATTTTTTTTTAAATTAGAGTGAGATAAAAGGATTGATGGAGATTGATGTTTGATTGCATTTTTTTTATGTGTATTTTTCGATTTTTTTTTTTAAATTAGAGTGAGATATAAAGATTGATGGAGATTGATGTTTGATTGCATTTTTTTTATGTGTATTTGCCTATTTGCTGATTGGATCTGGCTATTTTTTTTAATGATTCAGAGTATATAGAAGACTAGAAGTATAGAACAGA